AAGTTTACACACGCACATTTAGTTTGCATTAGCCCAATTTAAGGCACGTTAAGGGAGCATATCTACATTTGTGCACCCTTAATGCACCTTAAAAATGGCAGACAAGGTTCTTTGGCTAAGTCTGATATATTTTATTTTAGTTGGTCTAAGAAAATATAAATCGGATTTACCCATAGAACCTTGTCTGCCTACGTCCTTAGACCAAACACAGCTACAAGCTGTGCCCCTTTAAAATGGCAATTTTAGGCTATTAGAACCTAAATTTAATACCTGGAGATATTAAATTTATGCACAAATAGCTAAGTCGCATTAGTGAACATGTAGATACACTAATAGGCATTACTGCGGTGTGCATCTATTGAGTTGCAGCTAACTTGAGTCCCAAGTCGGTCCACACACTTGCGTTAACGCACCTTAGCACGTGCACATGTAGAGGCGTGCTTAAAATCGCCTTTATAAGTATTAGGCTAATATGCATTACATTTAGGCGCATGTAAAAGCACATGAGGATACACCCATCATTTCATAAATAGGAAAGAGACGTTATAGTTCACCATGCCTCTACCAGAAACAGCACAACAGTCCCTAAAGCTGAGGCACCAGAGAGAAACCAATATGTAACTCAATTTTAGTCTTATAATTGACAATAGGGGTTTGCTAAATTACTTACCCACTTATTCACAGAAGATTTGGTTGTTGCAACCCAAAGGGCTGGCGGAGGATCAGCTGATCTATCAAGTTCCATCTAAATAATTAGACAAGAAAACATTTTCACATACCAAGTTTAACTATGATCTCTCCAAAAATGTTTTGCTTTCTAGTAGCCTGCAATCATTACTGGATAGACTCCAGAAACAAAAACTGCTTATTGAAGACTTGCAAGATTCAATACAGTAGACAGTTAAGTTACAAGTTCTAATCCAGTAAGTGCTCAACTGCAATTTTTAGTTTTATTGTAAATCCCATAGAAGCAATAATTATTTCAGATCTCGAAAATTTCAGATGTCAGTATTTAAATTGTAGCACTAGCAAATACTGAATTCTTAAAAAGTATATCAGCTGTTGGGCTCTCATTTTAAAACATTTTAAATATTATAGTATTTAACATTTGACAGCAAAACCATCTTTAAAAGATTTAATTAAAACAGCTCAGTACTACTAAAACACAGAATATTAATCTAACTTCTGAAAAATCCATCCCGCTCCTACAGCAAAGAATCACTCTATTTAAAACTTCAGAGAGTATTTACATTCCAACTATAGAGTGGTTACCTATAATTTTATATTTTATTTTGAGTTGATATTTTCCAGGAGCTGTATTTAAAAAACAAAACAAGTGCTTAGGATACATTTTAAACATGCTAAGCCAGCATCATACACAGCTCAGAAAGACCAGGCTGTTCATGTATTTGGGCTATGTTAGCTATAAACTGGAAGATAGTCTTAATATTCCTAATGTTTAACTTGTACATAGAAAGCAGTTGCAGACTGTGACAAAAACTTTCCACCTTGTTAGTTAAAAAAAGGAATAAGATTAAGGCGGGGGGAAGGAGAGAGTGTTAGAAGAGACTTTAAAAACAAGGAAACTTAAGAATAAGTGGTAAACATTTTTCCCCTATGACCTTAGAAACACTGGTTTATTCTTAAACGTATTAAAATAGGGATAAATTAAATACTTTAATTGACTGCAGAAGCTACATAGAACGTTCTATTTGCTCTAACCTCACTAACCTCATCACCAGAAGCAAACTTTCTCAGGCCCAGAATGCACCAAATGGACCCAAGACCATGCCATGACAAGAAATGCAAAACCTGCCAACATCTCCACAACCCCCACAATCACTACACCCCACAGAGCCATCAGCATTCCTGGATCTTACAGCTGCACCTCCAGAAATGTTATATATCTCATCCAATGCACCAAATGCCCTGATGGAAAATACATAGGAGAGACTAAACAACAACTGCGCACCAGAATGAATGCACACTGGAAATCTATCAAAGACAGGAATACCCAATGACCTGTGGGGGCAAATTTCTCACAAGAAAACCACTCTCTCAGTCCTAATCCCCAAAGGAAACTTACACAACACTTCCCAGACGAGCCTATGAACTCCACTTCATCCACCTCCTGGATACTAAACATCATGGACTGAATATAGACACTGGATTTATGACACATCATAACCTGCCTGACATCTGACTCCCCAGGTATCTCTCCACTATTCATCCCCCTTCAAGTCTGTCTCTCACCCATTGACTCCTCAATCTACATTTTCACAGACTGCCTGTCTTGTGTGCAGAACAGCCCAGCCTCTGGTCTCTCTACTTTTCCTTCCATCCAGGAAGAGCACACACCAACTGCTGAAGCTTCCTTAGCCTAATGAAGGGTTTTTGAACCCGAAAGCTTGCTTAATAATGGTTTTCCAGCTATTTAAGTCGGTCTAATAAAAGATATCAGATTCACCCAAAGAACCTTGTCTGCCTATTTGCTCTAAGGTATTATTTTAATAATTTAGATAAAAGACATGCATTGTTCATTTTTCTCCAGTCAACAAAAGCCTTCTTCACATGAATCTGAGGAGAAGGAAGTTATATTATATTAAAAGTACGCTTACAAATACGTGCATTACATAAACACGCTGGCTCCAAAACACCTGAAATATAACAAAGGCTGGAACTCCTCTGACTATTATAAGCAGATGGAATTTAATGTCAGTTCATGCCAATTAGCCAAAAGCATCTACAAAAGATCAAGCTTGTAGCAAACTTAAGTAAAACTAGATACCTTAAGAACTGGGGCTTTTTCTTCACAGATGAGCACACGGATATCAGGATTTCGTAGATCTGTACAATAAATCTTCCTGTCTCTTCCTCCTGAATAAACATGAGTGAAGGCTTCATTAACCTGCAGGGCCCAAACACCTTCATCATGGACTCGATATGTGGCTATACACCTCTGCTGCCCAAGGGACCATAGACGAATAGTTCCATCAGAACTGCCTGAAAGACACTGAGCAACAAACATTGTTTTTAAACAAATGCCATCAGTATGTATCAAGAAAAGAGCTTCTGTTTTGTTTTTAATGCTTTGAAATACTTAAGTATTTTTCCTTTAAGACAGTATTAAATAATTACAGGGTCCACGTCTAGTACTATTTTGTTTTTTGTGACACACGTTATGTCAAGGAGAGAATGAGATAACCCAATATTAATTTGTATTGTGCCTGTCTGTCCATCCCCCTCCAGTAGACCATTAAAGCTATATTTGTCCCCTTTTATTTTTAGAATAAGTCCTCAGCTACAGTTACAACCACAAGTTCTTTTAACAATATACTTATTATAATTTCTTAGTTATGTCAGAGATGTGTATTAAAAGTAATGGGATAAATACATTTTATGTATTTATAGTTTAAAATTTGTAGGCTAGAACAGATTTTAAAGTAAATTACTTTTAATTCTACAATCTATAGTGTAAGATGTGGGGAGGAAAAAAATATTGAAAGATTAAGAACAACTGCTAAAGGAGCAGAGAAGTCTTCATTAAGGGTACTTATGTTTCAAATATACATACCTGTGTGCCATCTCTGTTCAACAACAATGCTTTTACATTGTCTGTGTGCCCTTTAAGTTTCATTAGTTTTGCACAAGTCCTTGGATCCCACACCCTTAAAACCTATAACAACAGACATAAAATAACTATACTGATTTCATTCTTTTCAGATACCCTGCTTACACTAGTGTAACTCTTGAAGAATCACCAAAGCATTTCTTCCACAAATTAAAAATAAGCATGTAAAGCACTTGATTAAGACAAAAGATTGAGTTACATTTTATGCATTTCAGGCAAGTCATGGGGGTCAGGAAGGAATTTCACCAGCCTAAATGTTAACTTGGCAACTACTTTTTTTCCCTCCTGTTCCTCTGAAGCATGAAAGATTAGCTCAGGCTAAGGATGGAATACTCAGGAAGGTGAGCTGGTGCTCTTAGGTGGTTGTGAGATCTCTCTCAAATGCCCTGTTCACATGCTCAGGGTCAATAAAAGCACCAGATTTTGGAGTCGGAAAGGTCATACTGGCAGGGAACTTGGGGAGTTTTGCCTCCCTCCACAGAATGGAGTAGAATTCACTTCATGGTATCAGCTGGACATCTTTCACTCAGTTTCATAGCACTGCAGGACCTCATCCCAATTTAACAGTACGCCAAATATTTCAAACTTAAAATCTGTGCCACCCAAAAGTTTCATATATGAGATTTGATAAAACTTAATCCTCTTGTATATTGCAAGCTGTTAAGCCAGATGATCTTAACAGTCTTTTCTGGCTTTAATTTCTATGCAGCTACAAAAACTATTCCAAAATTTTGTTAAATTCACACAAACATGTGACACATTCTAGTAAACATATTTAGGGCAGCCATTTGTACTTTCTTGGAATCACAAACATATTCAGAACTAGTTTAAAACATAGTGTGCAAAGAAAAACAACAATAAGTTAATTAAGGCTGGAGGGGGGAAAAAAGTGTACCCAGTTCTGCCTACCTTTTCAGTGGACCCTGATACAATTACTGTTCCCATCTGATTCATTGCAAGACTGTAGATAGAGTCTTTGTTCCCACTCAGGGAAGAAGCTATCACAAAATAAAACAACTATCAATATTACTTCATTCACTTGTCCATTTGATAGGATAACAACTATAATATTTCCACGTGTGCAGTAAAAACCCAAAGCAAGTTTTGATTCAATAGAGTCATCCTATATGAAAGGAACAGCCCCTACCCTGAGCAAACAGGATTGCTTCCAGTAGAGAAATAATTTAGTTACCACATTGCCAACAGAAAAAGGAAAAAAAAAACTTTTCAATTCCTAATGTGTAGTTCTGTAAGAAGCAAATGTCTGCTCAGAGGCATATCAATCTACCATCCTTTACACTTACAGCCAATTTTAAAAATTTAACAACTGACAAAAGCACAGAGAAGGCAGTGCCAGACCTGAAAGCAAGCTTACTGAAAAAACACATAGTAGGATATTTCTACCAACTATGTAAATTCCTCAACCAGGTTGCTAAACCACTGGTTGCAACACAATAGCATATTCTCGTTTGGCTTAGTTTCAGCATCCTCAGTCACCCAGCATTATCATGTGAAGTTTAAACTTTCGGGCTAAGCCTTTGTCTCTTATAGTGAAGTTGAGGCATCTTGGACTCGTTATTTAGAAGCCAGTGCAAGATCTCCAAAAAGAGGGCCACATGAAACCCTTAACACAGAATTTCTCTCATCCTTTTTGAAGATTATATTAGTCTAAAGCTTGGCAGGCTCAACAAGATAAGGACAGCTGCTACACACTTGCAGTAGCTATTTTCACATTGATATTAAAAGTGAGTGTTCATTTCCTTCCAGTTAGTCCAATATCACTATTACAATTTAACAAGCTCATCTTGACCAAAACTACACAAAAGCCTTATGTGTTTCCTTATGAACCAAATCAGCAAATGTCTCCAACCATCTTTCCCAGTCACCCCCTACTACAAAATGATATACCCATAATTATCAAAAAGAACAGGAAACAAACGAACTCTTAACCATTTTGATATCACCAGGCTTTCAGGGATGATTGGTGAGAAAGCCAACAAAAGCAGTCTGAGGAAAATCAACAAGATATCCACTCCAAGTGAGTGCTAGAGTTGTAGGCATTCTTCATCTTTCAAGAAACAGATGCACCTGAAAAACTATTGATGCTGCCATACTACATCTATTCCAAGCACACACACACACACACACACTTTAAAACAAGGTTGAAAAATCCACTCACCAGGGATGAGCAGGAAGATCTTTAACAAGGACCTAAATCAAATGTCTGCATTTTTAAACTGTTTCTAGCCCTTGTGATTGATAGAACAACTTTCCTATATGAACTGAATGCAAGCCAAGGTGACATGGACTTTGACTGCATATCAGTAACTTCAGTGCCTCTGTTACAGCTTTATCAAGCAAGAGCATAACAGTAAAATTAACAAGATTTACCCTGTTGTTATTCAAAACCTAGAGCTGTGAGAGCAATAATTCCAACACTGGATGGAAAAGCAAAGGCAAAACAATTTTAATTTTTTGTTGTGAGGCTGTACTGTATACACTGTTACATCAGCGATTCCTACTAAACAGAACCTGATATTAAAAAGATCCTCCCAAGAAGGGTGCATTAACCATGCTTTTCCCTGCAGCTTTCTTTACACTATGGCAATACTACAGATCTCACTCAAGTCCACTGTTACCTGGCACCTGCTCCCAACTTTGATATCTATATCTGTTCACTAGCTTTAGTTCTTCTAACAAATACATACCTGATTTGAAGCTGAATTGTGAGTTTTACACTGAAGCCACAAAAATACAAGATAGGAACTACAGTATACAGAAAATTCACTAACATCTTAAGGAGAAAATATGTTAGTTGAGGAGCCAACAACTGTTGCAGTTAAAGCTCTAGTAAGTCTAGATGAAACAGGCTCATTTCACTGAAGGTGATAATGTTCAAAGAGATTTCCCCTCCTTTCTAGATTCCATAATTATGAGTTAATATTGTCAGCTATTATACACTTCAGTGGAGACCAAGGAATACTTTTAGTAATGACAATTACTTGTGTATTTTTATTTACATGCAAAAAACTGGCATCTGCTATCCTAAAATAACCTGAAATGTTAATTGATGCACTGAATTTTAATATTTTCTATGTACCTACTTGTGACAGTGTTGTTTGAGGCAGTCAGTGCTGTTAGAGTATTTACGTCCCAGAGAAATATTTGTCTGTCCAGCCCGGCAGATGCTACCAGTTCTTTATCTTTTGCATATGCTAAGGCTTTCACATAATCCTACAATAAAATGGGTACAGCAACATGACAAGGAACAGGCAAATACCATTAGTATGAAGTCCGCATCTTAATGTTTAAACAACAGCTTTTAAAATAACAATGATAATTTATACTAATGATAATTAAATGTTTTTTACCTTGTGTGTCCTAAGTGTTGACATACAAAATCCCTTGTGTGCATTCCACACTTTAACAGTAGTATCAGAAGATGCAGATATCACTACAGAAAAAGAACAAAGAAATTAATAACTATTACAGAAAATGTGAAGTTAATATTCTTTGTTTCTGTTAAAAATGAAGGTAAATACAACTTTTTAAAATGTCCATTAAACATCTGTTGCAACTTTGGTAACATAAGCAAATAATACAGACTTTTAAAAACAGAATTAGAAAACAAGGAAAATGGTATTCAAGCTGCAGCAATTAAAGCAAGAATTTCTGAATGCCACATTTTTCCATTTCATACATTTAAATATGGTACCAAGTAAAAAACTACTTACATGTTTTACCATTGCAACAGAGTACAATATCGTTTACCCAATCTGTGTGATGTTCCATAGATGCTATATAAGGATCTTGCTGAAATTAAAAAATAAATTTGTATGAGGTCCCTTCAATATTTGAAAAGACTAACTCAGTTCTTGGATCCATTTGTGACACTCCTCTACTTCTGTATGATCAGTAGTTACTTCACATAGTCCTACTGAAGTCAAAACTATACACACTCAACTATCAAGCAATGTAAGAAAGGAGTCACAATCTGGCCTTTAAGAGAACACCTAAAAATGTAAAACACGAATAGAAGCTACATTACACTTGGTCTCAAACCCAGTAACACCAGCTTACGGTATTTGTTTTTGCAGGCATAAGACACAGGCATAAAAGCACCAATTAACCAAACGCAGTGTTCCCAAACAAAGGATCCTGCAATCTATAATCTAGTAAGGTTTGAGCCAAGGTGACAAACCAGCTTGGAAGATAAAACCCAAAAAAGAACAAATAAGTCACGTAAAATACCACCACCTGCCTTGGGAAAGAAAGAGAAAAACTATAAGGAAGTGAACAGGAAGAGAGAGAGAAATGGATGATAGTATATTTACAATGTAAAAAGTGTAATAAATTAGGCTTAACAGTGGTAAACCATTAAATAAGTTCCAGATGCTCCAAGAAGTACATTAAGAACAAACCAACTGATGATACTGTGAGTTTGAATGGCTCACAGATTGTATTTGTTATCCACTCTTTTTGTCCTTTCAAGTTTGACTATAAATTCTTCCAAGTACAGACCATGACTTGCCTGCAAAGAGCCATGCACTTTTTGTTACAGCATAAATATTAAGGTCAGCTACAAACCCTTAGCAAGGTAACCAAGATTCACTATTTCAATCACAGATGCCAGAGCTCATCATGAGTGTGTTAATGTAAAAACTTTTTTATTAAGAAAAGAAAAAGAGAAAGAAAAGAAAGAGGAATATTTTCCTGACTTACCTTGTGCTGATTGACACTCCATATCCTTATTATAGAGTCTCGGCCTGCTGTGAAGAGCCTGTTTAATGCTGGATCAAGCTGGAGTGCATTCACCCCGTTTCGATTGTACTTCTCCACCTCATCTCTAATCACATAGGAGACCTGAAATACATTTATACAAATAAGATTATAGTATTAAGATTTTTGGTCTTCACAAAAAAGCAGCTTTGGGAACTATTTCATTTTTCAATTTTCTACTTAAAGGTCTCAAAGATCTTTACAAGCATTAAAGAATTTAATCTCAACACCCCTCCCATTGCAACAAGCCTCATTCCCAATTTACAAGAAGAATAACTGAGGTATACAGAGGATAAGAGACTTGCACATCATCATGAATGATTATCGAAGACCTCAGAACAAAACCAAAAGAATGGTCTAGAGACTAGAGAACTTGCCCAGACCATGGGAGACCTGGAGTTAATTCCATATTGTCACTAATAAACTGGGTGACCCTGTGCTATTCATTTAGGTTAAGTGACCCAGCTCTCCTGTTTCCCCAAGAATAGAGGTGTATGCACATTAAAAACTGTGAAGCCCTCAGGTGATGGAGATCATAATTACTCAGGCCATAAGTAGTGAGAATTCATATCTCCTTATTCTTAGTCCTTTGCTTCAACTGGGATATCATTTGAAAACTATTTTTTTTTCCAAAAGAAAATAATCTGCTAATGCTACAAGGAAGTCATAAAAATCACTATGCCTAGAAAACTAGAAAAAGTTTATTGGTCATGGAAAAAATACTTAAGTGGTCTTGAACCAGAGATCATAAAAAATGTTCATTCCCTGTATTACAATGGCTTCAAGACACCATCTATCCTGATGACAGGCTCAGTGTACAAAGCTGCATATCTAGTAAAGATAATTAGTGCCAAATTCCTAAGTGGGAGAATCCTGGGTGAAGCAAAGGAAAGTGGGGAGGATCTTAACTAGAGTTTCTTTCCCCTCCTCCCACCAGTAAAGGCGAGGTACTGTTTGTAAGGAAAATCTCATATCCTGACTTCTAGTACAAAAACACTGCCACTACTCTACAGGACAGGATTCGAGCACGAATACTCATAACCACTCATCCCTTGTTCTCCTCAACAACACCCACGCTTCTCCACCACTTTCTTAAATCTCTCCCTTACACTTTCTACTTGCCCTAACACTTCAAAACCCTCTCCTGCCCACCCAACACTTGTGTTTACCAGCTGCCCTCTGCTTCTACTCTTTACACCCTGATGCTCAATACATGCCAGTTCTCCCTCCCAAGCAATCCATTCCCATTAACAGCAGCCTCTTTCCTATGGCTATCCAGGTGCCCATATCTATGCTGCTTGCCACAGTCCTTCTCATCCTCCTGAGACCTGGACCCATCTTCTTACCCACATTTTCCACTGTCCTGCCATGTCCTGTTACTGTCGAAGTGATGTAGCCATGATGGTCCAAGAAATATGCAAGCAGCAAGGATTTTTTGTCTATTAGCTTTTACCAGATCAACTGCATGGTTGAAAGGACTTAGACAAGCTTTCAGACACCACAGTACCCTTCCTTAAGTCTTAGCAGTAATGAGGAGAGAAACTTGTCCATCCTAACCAAACAGTTGGTCCAATAAATAGATAATGGCCCACAAAAATCCTTGCCTAGTCATCTGACATTTATAGCTATCTAATATATTTTATTAGCCATCTAATATATTGTTTTAGTTTTCTCTCTTGTGACTCAAGTCAGCATATTAAAATGCGAGATGTTGGGTACTGCAAATTAAGATACAAAGTGTATTGTTTGGGGGCAAGAGAGAGGAAAGTGCGAGATGTTTCTATCAGCATAGAAAACTATTATAATAGACAGGAGCTGTAACATTAAAAAACTGTATTTAGGTCCAATTATTTCTGTAGTATAGATGAACACTGTGCTACTGCTCAGCAATGCTTGATCAATGTCTCTGCATTGTTAGGACCTGTGCCAAACTGGATGAGCAAAAGAACATGCTACAAAAATAAAAAACTTAAAGTCTTCCATAACATTACAAAGCACTAACAAGCAAAACATGTTTTTTAAAATATTCTGATTCAGCCAAAGAAAACATGCAACCTTTCTTAAAAACTAGGGCAAGCATAATTCACACAGCTAGTTACAAGGTACCAAGCACTGCTAGATCAAACCAGATGAGTACAATCACTGGGGAGAAAGTCTCTTCCTGTGGCGTACTGCCATAGCGAAGATCAGCAGAGACACCCAAGCTGCAGCTCCCTGGATATAAGTGAGAAAGAGCTGCTGGCAGGATGCTTTTTTTTGTGATGTGTCCTTGATTTTCAAGCTCCCTACACCTCACTGTATGGCTCAGCCAGTGCCCAGATTTGCTAGTCTTTCAAGTCCACTGTAAAGCTGTCATTTTCTCCCATGTCTTCCCTAAAGGTAATGAAAGTGGGCAGAGTCAATACAGAGATATTTATAAGCAGTCTTTTGCTTATTGTAATATTCTGATTTTTAACTTTAGGACAGGTACCAAAAAACTCCAGAGGGTCAATAATTGTAGTTTAAAAATTAAAATGAGCAAATAAGTGACCTCTCTCCATAGAAAGATTCAAAAAATCTTGGGTGGGAGAAAAAGAAAAATGGTTGTTTTTTTTAATAGAACTGATACTAACTTGGCACTTGGCTGATTTAGACTAGACATAGGGAAAAAAACTTCTTTACAGCCCTAGGGTCTACCATTAATGGAGGGTCTGGAACATACTCCACCCCACTGCTGGTGCTACCACCTACTCTGGACTCATTCAAATGGTGTTTGGATGCTTATCTTGAGAGGGTCATTTGACCCCAGGTAACTTCCTGCCTACGGCAGGGGGGCAGGACTCAGTCTTGCAAGGTCCCTTTCAGCCCCTAATGTCTATGAATTTGGCGAGTCAAGTACAGAAGGTTACATATTTCTATATGTTTTCCAGTCGGACCCACATAACGGATGCCAAACTACTTTCCAGCATAACAGATAAAGCAATTGCTGTCTATTAAGCTAATTTTAGCTGGTCCAACTGGTAGCAAAAACTCCCATAAAGGTAGGCATTGCTATTGCCAGTAAAGTCTATCCAGTTGTGTTTGGAAAAAAGATATACCAGCAAGCAAACATTTATGATCTCAATGCAAGCCTTCTGCCAGCTCAATATACTATTTAAGTGCAAACTCATTGGGGGTAGGGAGAGGGGGAGAGGAGTCAGAGGAGGAAACAACAAAAGACACTAGGCACTTACCTGGAATATGCACTTATCCTCATTTAATGCACGAAGCACTTATTAAGTACACAGCACTATCAGTTTTGGAGCTGCTAGTGCCACAGCACATTGTTAGTGCTATGGAGGTAATAAACATAGTTACAACACCATTACTGCTGTATTAGCAGCCCCAGAATTGATTAGAGCCCCTCAATTTCAAGGCTTCTAACAACAACCCTTTGACAGCCACTTCTCCTCTATTGCCTCTAATACAATTCAAGAAATACAACAGATTACAAAGTAGACAGTTACAATTAGGATGCTGTTAGCCAGAGCACAAGTAAATTACAAATTAGACAGCCAGGCTGAAAGATGCTATGCACTAAAGCACTTTATGCACTTAAAATAGTAATTATCTGCATGAGGGCTATTACAATGTAAGCAAAAGGCAACAAATTGAGACTGGCATTATGTTATGCAATTAAGTTAATTATGCACTTATTTGATATATACCTTAGTGGAGTAGGCTGCATAGAAATGTTAGCATAATACCCTTCCCAACACTACTATAATTGCAATGGAGACCTGGCCTTGACACAGTAATTTCCACATGTGGATTTAGTTTAACACCGCTGAAGCCAAGGGGAGTATTATTCCCGTTTCACAGAAAAGAAAACGTAAGTGAAGAGGAAAATTACTTGATTGGGGTAAAAAAGCCAAAGCAAAACAACAACAGCAACAAACCTATAGAAGATCTTGGGAAAAGAATCCAGCTCCCCTGGTCACTAGTTCAGCACTTAACTACAAGATGATCTTTTCACCTAACAAAGGGGAAATTAGAAAAGGAATTCTGTGGCACACCAAATACATATTCTTTATTTCTTAAATGTATCTAAAGTGTAAAATTAAGATTTAACACAATAATTGGTTGCAATTTCATTTTTTTAAGAGAAAAGGCAAAATATTCATCAACACCTTGTCAGTAATAACAGTTACTTGTGACCATCACCAACAAGTAATTCTACTACTGTTGCCAAGATCAAGAGAGATTATAAATTTCATGCTCCTGGAATATTAGAGCGCAGGATTTCAAGCAGTTATTCCCATCTCACAGATGAGATCTGTACAATGTTTATAATTATGAAGCACACTGAATACATTTTCACTTAAAATAGGTTATGACAGTTTCCTATTAAGAGAAGAAGAAAGTTATGTTCCCAGATATAAAGTGAATGCTTAATATTTTTCCTTTCTGACATTTTTTGTACTACAAAATTATGTTTGGTAAAAAGCCATATAGTTAAGAGAGGGGAGGGAGGGAAGAAGCAACAAAGAAGATAAATAAAATGTCCGTGTTGGATAAGTTTACTTGAGATACTTCAAGTGAACACCATTTCTATTACTAAGAAAACTAGGTAAACCAGGGGTCTGCAAATAGCATAAACTAATTCTTAATGGACAAAGTGTGTCACAAGCGTCTCTCTTCTTATTCCCAACTATGGACTCTACATACAGATTGGAGACCTAATAACTTTCCTGTGATAAGCATGAAAACTACTTGTATGGAAAGTATTTAACATGTTTTTAGCTTCTTGTTACGCAAAGACCAATGCCAAGATCCTGTAAATGATAAGTAGGTGCTTCATAAACCGTAATAGTGGAAACATCAAATCAAGGACTAATATAGACATAAAGCCATGTGTCCAGACCCATGCTGAAGACCTTGTTCGAGAAACGCGACACCAAAAGATACTTCGTCAGAATCTATTTGTTGGATGTCACACGTAATGTTTTATGAGAACAGCCAGCCACAAGCAAACAGAAATAGTTTAACACACAAATTGCATGGTTCAAAAACACAAAGGGAGAGGACAGAAGATTGGTTTGTATGAAATCTCTGCTAAAGAGGGTGCATGAGAAACAAGCCCATAAATAAAAGCATCTTAAAATTGAAGAAGTCAAGGGGTAGGGGCGGAAATCAATGAAGGGGATAATGGAAATCATTCAGAAAACCACATGCAGGTTTCCCTTGCTTTATGCTGTACACGCGTTCCTGGAAAACAGTGCGTAACTTGAATTCGCACAGTGGAAACCCACTTTACAATGCAACAACTAGGGATACGATCCAAGACCTCGATTGTGTTGACCCCCCAGACCCACTCCTACCACTCTTGCAAGATAATTTGGGTACTTGCCAACAGCAAACAAACTGCACACACAAGCACCCGGGGGGGGGGAGGAAGAGGGTGGCACACATTACCATAATGGGGACGGCAACCACAGAAACACATGCTGCCATCGACAAGCAAGGAGCACTGATCTGATCCTCACAGGAGACTATTTCGGTGCGCGTCACTCTGGCCGTACAAAGCAGAGCACCGCGGGCATCCCCCGCACCAGTCGTGTAAGAGCAGATTGACCTCGCATAGAGCAAAGTTTCGGTATAAAAATGGGTCATCGCCCAGGAGCAAATCCGCACTCATGAAACCCGCACAAGACTTTAAGTCCAACGCAACGAGGCTAAGCGAGCATCCTAAGGGAAAAGACGCCGCTACCCAGGACAATTCGCTGCCGAACTACCCCACAACCCCGGCGAGGTAGCCACTATATCTGCCACCCCGCTACAGACAAACGTGCACACCATGGACTACACAACCGAGAAGGCTTCGCGCCGTTATCGCCCCGGCGGCCACGAGCCCCAGGCAGCTGTTAGCACAGGCAGGGCGGGGCCCCGGGCACGTGCGAGAGGGTCCACAGCGGCAGTTGGTGACGGCTGGGGGAGGGGCTCTCCCTCTTCTCCCCCGCAACAGCTCAGAGCCTCCCCGCCGCCCCCAGTCCGGCCCAGCCCCGCTGGCTCCCACCTTACCTGCACTTTTCGCCGCCCCGCCGTGTTCTGTCGGTGATGCGCCGCCATCTTACATGTTGACACTCTGAGGTCATTTCCGAGCAGAGCCCGGAAGTCCCGCCCCACCTTCTTCCGCTGCCTGCCGCCGTTCGTGGTTGCTAAGGGAGCGGTGCGGAAGGGGCGGGGCGGGAGCTGTTTCCCGCGCGCGCCTGGGCGTGGGGCCATGCCCCTTTTTCCGGGTCGACCTGCGCCATTGTGGGTGCTGGAAGTTCCCTTCTTTGGCTCCTCAGGGCAGTGTGTCTCCCTCCCTCCCCTTGGGGGAAGCAGCAGGGCGGCTCCGGGCAGCTGGGGTGTAGCTGTGTCCACGTCAGGACGGGGGCGGCTACGGCTCTTGGGGGAAATCTGGTATCTTTGATGAGGCCAACTGCCGTGGTTGGAAAAATTCTTCTTAGTGAGCTTTTGGGCCCCTGCACCCTTTTGTGCTCCTGCCTGAAAGCTTGCTCTTGAGAAATTTTTTTCCCACTGTCGGAG